AAGTTTTAAAATTTTCACCTTCTTTTTCAGTGAAAAATGTCTGAAAAATAAACAACATTTTTCACTGAAAAAGAAGGTGAAAAAATTGAAATGCTCAACCAGTGGAATGATTTTATTTTATTTTCAAGACTCGCTAAGCCAAGTGGGTAGTCACAGCATGCGTGACATAGTCACCGGTCCAGTGGGGAAGGTATCGTTTCAGAAAATACCATTGAGATCGCATCTAACCCAGATTAAAGTGTAATAGGTTGTGCAGTATTGATAATGCATCCCTTGAGGTTTGATTTAATTTTTATAGACACTCTTTGATCAGCTATGAATTTTCCATTGTCTTGTTGCTGAAGTGCGTGACATGTTGATGTCGAGGTTAGTCACTTCAAGTTGAACCTCACGCTATAGTACTACTAGTATACTTTCACCTGCTAGTAGGCCTGACCCGGAATATAGTTCACCATAATTTTATTGTAAGTGTATTTCGGACCTAGTAAAATACTTGGTGCAAGTGTCGTTGACACGGCGCTTATGCCTTGGATGTTTTCTTGATGCCAGTGTTTTCCTACCAACGTTTCACTGGCACGACATGTAATGCCTATTATATAGTACTGAGTTCAATCGGTTGATATTTGATACCATTCATGGTAGATCCCAAGCAGCTAAAATTTCTCAGTAACAAGAATGCCACCTAGACCTTCGGCATCGGCATCGGCAACAAGCTCGAATTGAACCAAGATCATTGAACAGATATGTTCGGTCATATATATTCCCCATGCAAAGTGCTGTATCTGTCTCCAGAATTTTGCGGGCCAATTCCAACAGTGCCCACGCCTGACTCCACGCCACGCACGCCTTAGGACACGCCTCTGCACTCTTGATGCACGGCAGTGCACGCTAGTGCACGCTAATGCATGCTACACTCCGCAGTGGCGTGCAGAGGCGTGCAGGTCCACAATTCCTTTGATATGAAAACTGTCAAGCTCAGGCAGGATATTTAACCTTATTCTTTCAACTTGGACTGTAATCATGTTGCTCATTTTTTTTGGTGGGTTTGAAAATTGATTTTTGGGCTTTACATTTGATTAAAGGTGCTTAAAACGTGGTATTCAGTTCACATAACTAAGACAGACGGTGTGGATGAGCTGCGACGAAGGGAAATCCGACGCGCGGCGATGGTTAATTTACGTGTGTGCACGCTTGCACGCTGCACGGCACGGCACGCTTGTCACGGCAGCATCAGCATCTTTACAAGTCAGCTTTTCCGCGGCTTTTTGTCCTTTTCAAAGGTGAAAAAGGCGAAAAGGCCGCAAAGCTGTTGCGCCTTTTTTACGCTGAGTCTGTTTGCTTTTAAAAGGCGGAAAAGGCGGAAAAGGACAAAATAAGCTCAGGTAAAAGCTCTGATATAAGGACTTAAAAAGCTCAAAAAGGACCAAAAAAGATACCAAAACAGCTATATTCACGGTACTAAAAACATGAATAGGTATGATAGTAAGCCCGTTTCACGTCTCCACCGGGTCGCATCCGCGCAGACGGAGTACAGGTGCGCGCGGGGGTTCCGCATTGTACGTGCATGCGCGGCGCTGGCACACGGCACAGTGCTTGAGCTTGCGCGCGATAGGCTGGCACACGGCACAGCGCTTGAGCTTGCGCGCGATAGATGCGCATGCTCAATGGCCCAACGGGCGTGATGCGGCACGAGCGACCGCGATATGCGCACTTGCAACGCGTGCTCGCCACTGGGCTCTTGGAGCATTACAATCTAATCACCGGCAAAATCAAAATAGCCGTGCATCAGTGAACAGTAGATACGCACCATGTGGGGAGGGATGCAAATAAGGTCGAGAGGCGGGTGGGCGGGCGCGCACGGGGATCAGTATCAAATAGCTGCGCTGGTGGGCATGACACGTACTAGCGAAACCCTGATGCGCAATCCATCAACCTCGCTGCATCTTCGCATGAGAACCGACAGCAACCACCAGAGGCGCAAAGAACCAGAACAGAGACATACTTGAGAGGATTGAACTCCAGTGGGAAGAGACTAGCATTAGATTGTGTGAAACTTGAATGGCTTGAGCGGGGTACCAGGTATGGCGAGACAAGGAATAGGCTTGACGCTTGAGGCTTGGCTTGGGGGCTTGAGACTTTAGGGCTTGAGCCTTGGGCCTTCCAGACTTGAAGCTTGAAGACTCGTGCTAGATGGTTACTAGTGGTATCGTAGAAGCAAAGGAACGAAAGGAGGGGAAGGGAGGTGGGGGAAAGAGAGAAAGGATGGGTGACGTGGCCATCAACCAACCAACCATCAATCACGCCACTTGACGTGATGGGCGGAGTTTAAAATGACTTGGCCAAATTTCGCCAACGTCTTCAGCCAAAGTTCCCTATGTCTTGTTTTTTTCGGACCGCAGATGTCTGCTATGAGATTTGCGCGCAAGACACAATCTTTTGGATTTACCATTGCCTCAAATTCTCAAATTCCAGCGCGGTTGCAGTGTTTGCCGGGTTTGACCGCCTGGGGGCAACACTGAGCAATCTGCACTCAATACTAATTCTCACTGGTTGCAGGGAGGGCTTTTCTTTCAACTCTCAGCTGGTTGGTATGTTTTTCAACTGTCTCGGAAAATAGGAACCGGTAAGGAGCCAAAAAAGGAGAAAGCCACAAAAAGCTCGAAAAAGCACAACAAAAAGGACATGAAAAGGACATGAAAAAGGTGAAAGCTCGAAAAGGTGCGAAAAGCCGCAGGAAAAAGACTTGTAAATTTGCTGATGAGGGCACGCCGTGACACGGCGATTTCTCGGGGCCCCCTCCGAGTCGTTTGATGCCCGGTTTCCTCTTCTCCGCTCCACCTCCACTGCACGCCAACTCGAACAAATCCATGCCAACTCTCTCCCATAGACCCCATTATACCATCCTCCTTCCACCCGGAGCCTAATAAGCTACAATCAAGGTGTTCTAAAATCACTCCTGCTTCCGCGTTTAAGTTTCCAGGTACCATTCAGTGGCATTGCCCGCATTCATCCCAAATGTATCTTCCGTTCTTGTTTCCCAGCACAAAGATTTGCACTTGTGGTATGTATCCCATCAAGTTTCCTTTCCATCCCCCAATCACCATCCTAAATCAGAAATAGCGCGCAGCACACTTCACGCGTGAGCACAGTGCCCGCACACAGAGATCGCCGCTGGGCATCCGATGCCAGATACTTACCCTCCCCGACTCCAGCGGAGATTCGAGATTCACCATGCCAGGTCCACTGCATTGTTATGTTGCGCGGAATTTATGTAAATCTATTTTTACTGTCTCCTGAAGCTTATATCGAGACCCACAGACCTTAGGGCCGGAGTCCTGGGACCTCATCATGATGCGTGCGTGGGCCTGATGGACTTGGAACTGTTTGTAATGTTTTCTGTGTCTTTCTCCCTTTCCCTGTCTCCTGCGACCTGAATTTCGTAGACCTCGCACACCTCCCACGCCCTCCAGTTCCACGCCGGTAAGTAACCCTCCAAACTCCAGCTAGGAATGCAAGCGGCAAGCCTGACGTGCTTTTGGATTTGAGACTGCCCATCTCTTACAATGAGCGCCGCGACGACTGCTTGCGCCACCACTCTCAACTCCACCAACAATCCCAGCTTCAGATCGGTGTTCTGTCCCAGGGAAGTCTCAGCGCTGACTTCGGAAGGCAACCTCTGCGACGAGAAAGACAAAGAGGAGGTGCGTATGGGTCTATTTCCACAATACAAAGCTCAACCCCGGCCTCTTCTGTTCCGCGCCGTAGATCGACAATGTCGTGTTGGTTCCCGACCAGTTCCTCACCACCGACTCCCGTGAAAACGATGCAACCACTTTGACCGACGAAAACACGACGGCGGTCACCCACGGGGGACACAATAATCCTGCGCGCCTCGAAGTCTTGGGGTCCGGCCTCGAAGCAGCAAATGGTAGTCCACAATACAGCGCCTATCCCTCTCCTTCCCACCAATATATCGCTCTTACAAACGCCCTTCGTCTCCCTTCTCGCTCTCACAGCTCTCCCACCCCGCACCCGCGGACATCTCAATCGAGTCTCTGGATGCTGCCCTGGCATTAGAGGTCGACCTGAACCTGGACGCGCTGATGTCGCGCGAGGTTCTCCGCGTCGCGCGTGCGCGGTTGGGGTGTGCGTGATTCTACGTGTGAGGCCGCCGCGTGTTCTTTGTTTCAGCTTTCATCAGACTCTTCGATTCATACATAGTCCACCATTCACTTAGTTTCATTCTCAATCTCCGCGTCTCGGATTCATAAGCCTTTGAACATAAATCTATATGAAGTTTGCTTTAGCAATTGCCGTCTCAATGCAAATCAGCTCTTAAGCATTGTTCTGTTAAACATAAATTGGTGGACAGCTGCAGAACCTGGGGGACTCTTTCCTACGTATCCCATTCTTATACCTGGCTCTAGGTATGCTTTTTTAAGGGCCATACCACATTAAATACACACTTTTATCGGACTTTAAGGCCCATTCCGGCGGAATCTGTTTTTTTTTCCTGAAAAAACAGCTCGCCAGCCAGAACCTGGCATTACCTGGCTTTTAAGCCCGAACTGCTCTCATTCCACTCATTTCACCTTGTTTAAGCCCGCTCAGCCCCCTTATAGCACCCTTTCAACCCTTATTTCCGTCAATCTTCTGTATTTGGCTGCAACCTGGCTTTTTTTTTCTTGACAAAACACCCCACTCGCTAACCTAACCTGGTTTACCTGGCTTTTATCCCCAATCCCGCCTCTCCCTGGCTTTCTTTAAGGAACCGTCAGCATTAAATAAACTTATGTATCCCATCCGTGTACCTGGCCCTAGGTCCCCTTTATTTAAGGACAGTACTGCGTTAAATAAACACCTTTATCGGACTTTGAGGCCCATTCCGGCAACCTGGCTTTTGTTTTCGTGAAAAAACACCTCACTCGCTAACCTAACCTGGGTTTATCTGGCTTTCATCCCCAATCACAATTAGTGCTTGGGTAAACGTGGAAAAGAAATTGTTGCTCCAGGATTCGAACCCAGGACCTCCCCTAATTGCACCGAGATGCTCTTAAACCACTGAGCTAAGTGACTGTTTCTTGTCATCACAACCAGGCATGAGACATTATGCCCAACTTTTGCACTGGCCGGCTGTGAGGGACCACAATATCATTTGGTCCCCTGATACTGCCAAACCCTGGCTTCCTTGCCTTCACCAGATGTTTGGACCATCTCACACATCCTCCCATCACTCACCAATAGTGTGAACACCTTTATGGATCCAGGAAAAGTTCTTGCCACCCATCATAATCCAGGAGGTGTACCAGTTTCAGCAAGAATTGTTCCACTCCTTGCCGATCTGGGAGCAATCCGCAAAATTTCAGGATTTCTTGGCCACAGCGCACATTATTTCTGCTCCTTCTGTCTTCTGTGTCTAGACCAGATCAATAATCTGGACTGGCAAAACTGGTCCTACCGTGATGGCCTCACGGTAAGGGGCCAAGCCATCGAATGGAACAGCCTGGCCACTATAAAAGCTAAGGAGGAGCTTGCCAAAGCGACTGGGGTGCGTTGGACACCAATGCATACTATGCCACAGTGGGATCCTGTGCAGCATGTTGTTCTAGGCTACATGCACAACTGGCTTGAAGGTGTCCTGCAACATCATCTTCACATGCTCTGGGGTATTGGACGTGATAGGAAGAAAGTTAAAGAACTGGCAGAGACAGATAAAGAGGAAGTTTTCTCAGACTCAGAAGCTTCAGAGTCATCACAGGAACTTGACGCTCTCGCAGATGAGGACCAGGAAGAATATGATATGATGGATGTTGATGCAGATACCTCTGAACGGGAGGCATCTACCACTCCGACTCCAGGCACATTAATGTCCATGTTTATGGACGATGAGGATGACGAGGATGATAAAGATTTTCTTCCAACTGATTTCAGCACTGCATTCAATATCACTTCTGATGATTTGCAGGCAATTCATACCTGCATACACAACATTGATCTTCCCACTTGGGTTGGCCGCCCACCATCCAACCTTGGTGAGGCCTCCCATGGAAAATTGAAAGCTCAAGAGCTCCTCGTGCTTTTCACTGTCATTTTCCCTTTGATTGTCCCAGAACTTTGGTGGAGAAAAGGCACAACTGAAACTAGGCTTCTTGCCAACTTCGATGACCTTGTTGCCTGCACAAACATCATTTCATCGTACTCAACGTCAAATGCAGAGGCAGATTGATATATGGATCACTATGTTCAATATCGATCCTCCAAGGATCAACTCTTCCCTGAATTTGATAACCTGCCAAATCACCACCTTGCCATGCACAATGGAGACCAACTAAAATTTTGGGGACCTGTAGCAGTACTTAGCGAATTTCCTGGGGAACGGATGAATGGGGAGTTTGGAAAAGTGAAAACTAACCATCATGTCGGTGTGTGCAGGAATCTTTTGAAAAGAAATGGATTCTAACAAATAATGCATTAGATGAAATGGATTTGACCATGTTACGGCAGATGTGTCGCTGTGGTCGCTTGGAAGCTGTTCTGAATGACGACAATTATCAGACTGATCTATCTGGACCGATGGACCAGCTGGCCTGCATACTTCAGCCCAAGGATGAGTTCCGTAGGGAGGCTCCTCTCAAGCCATTAGATGGGTCTGAAGGTGCAAAGATTGTGGCTGCAGGAAAAGAACTGAACCAGATCCAGTATACCACACTCCTCGACTACTTGCACTCCATGGGACAAATGTGGCGCTCCTGGAACCAAATGCCACATCATTCAGGATCTATGGTACTGCCCAGTCGAGCTCTGCAGCCTTCCGAATTCAAGTTTGAGGGTCGTAGCTTCAGCTGTCAAGAATCACACCGGGGGAACAGTGGCATCCAATTTAAAGGTCCAACTAATCCTGACCAACATCATACAGGATTCATTGAAGGGATATGGCAGATTCCACTGCAAGGCCACCTGCAGACTTTCCTCCTTGTTGAAATGCACCACATGCTTCCACATCAACTACCATTTAATGAGTACCAATATTTCGGTGTAGCAGTTGCAGATGCTGCCCCATCTCAACACTTTTGCATTATTGAACCAAGACATATTCTCACACATCTGACTGTTTACAATCGGCCAAGGGGCACCTATGATATTGATCTAGATATTTTGGTCATTTGCTGGTCACTGAATCAAGGTCGCCGTAGTTAATTGGGGCTGGGTGTTTTAGCTACATGTTCCCATCAGATATACATATATTCCATCAACTGACGCGTCTTTGGCAAGGACAGCCAGTACTAGTAGGCCGTGCGTCTGACAACGCAAAAGGTCACGTGACCGGTAACTTCCGTTCGGTACTTCACGTGATTGATTTCGCTTTCCAGGCGCGCGCACTGGATTTTCCCGATCAAAAATGATGTGTACCGACCTCTTTGTTCTTTCCACTTTCGCTTCTCTGCACTTCAGATACCCCTCATCTGCCCCATAACTATGAATTATGCCTCTGCGAGCTCTTCTGGTCATTCGGGGTCCCGTCCGGGTCCCAGGAATTCCTAGGGCTTCTGCCTGTGACCGTCAACACGGTTTGATGGCACCCGTCGAACGGGTGCTGTGCCCGTTCGGTCGACCATTTTCATACTTCCTCGACGGCACGGTCACGGCACGGATGCGAGCCATTTTTTGCCATTGAAAAACGGCCATCACGGCCGTTCGACGGTGCTCCCAGACCTTTTGGATTGCACTTATTTCTGCATCCAGAATGATCAAGGCAAGGATGTTAACCAATCCACACTGCTCTTATGCCCCCCTTCAGCCTTGTCAGCCATCATCTGGACTCAAATCAAAGGATTTCTAACTCCGAACAAGCCGAAGAGCCCTTTCTCCTTTCGGAACTCACCCGAAATTCACCTCTTTCTCAAGTTTCTCATTTGCACAACAGTCAAATCTGGCATTTTACGAACGGCAGCATATTCACAAACTACTCGAGTCTTTGATTTCACAACCCTCCGATTCTCGAATTTTATTTCCCCCGCCAGGGCCTCCAGACTTATGCTTCCAGCTTGCAGAGAGTCGACACGACAAATGCAACCAGCACATATTCCAAATTCTCGACTCTCAATACAATTTTAAAGTTGTTCTGTACCCGTCGACCAATCACGGCCGTGCCATTGACCGTGCCGTCCCATCAAGGATTTTTTCAACCCCTCGACGGGCCATGTCCAGATGGCCCATGCCTGTCGAACACCTGTCGATTCGACGGCCATTGCTGTCACGGAAATGGGTGGAAGCCCTAGGAATTCCGGTGCCGGTTCCAAAAGAAGGCATCAAGACTCTTCCGAGGAACCACCACAGACCTCGAGGAAACGCTCCAAGGGCACAATGCCCCCATCCAAGCCAAAGAATCGTAGTGACGAACACCATCTGAAGAAGGTGGATATCCTAGATGCCGATAAATCCCTCCAGGTGTGTTCTTTGTCTTATTTCTTTGTTCAAAATATTCACTCATCTCATTCAAGAATGCTTTTGTTCTCCACATGCGAATTCTGTGGGGCCTTTACCATGCTACTGCCATCCCTCCTGTGCCTGATGTTGTCACCATTGCCTTGTTTGAGCAAAATTTCGCCACTGCCGACCAGATTGATGCCTTCATTGCTAGTCTTTCATACAAACACCAAGAAGCGAAAGCCTGGATCCTTGCATTCCGTTCCAACCCCGAGGTCATTCATAGCCACAGCACGATCACCAAAAATATTCTTGCCATGAATGACCTCCATCTCGAGGTTATCCATGCTGGCCCTCTCGCATCGGGCTTGATCAGGTGGGCCCCAGATGTCCTCGGCAATGCCGACTCCCTTTACAACAGGGCACATGAACTCATCGCAATCAGAACCTTTCAAACTGTAGCAGTGGGGCATGGCCATGCTTGCCTGAGCCCCAATCTCGCGAATCTCACCGACATCCCTTTGCTGAGCAAGATCTATCGCAATTTTGCATTCTCTTATCAACACAAGAACGTGAAGTCAGAGTTGGAAGAAGTGGGAAGTGTGGAGATGAATAAGTTGAAGAAAGGCATCTATTCACGTCGCACCCGAGTGCGTCACATTATTTCTGACCCCTGAATATCACTGAATGTCTACTTAGCTTTGTGACAATCGCTCTGATTTTATTCTCAGTAATGGGTACAGCAGGCATGCATACCACCTATCAAGGGAGCCCGAATGTCATTCAGACGACGAGGTTGCTGTCCCTCCGGCCCCGCCAGGTCACCTATGCAAGAAGAAAATTGCACGTAACCCAAATGTCACTACATTCTTCCGCAAACTTGTGGATGAGCCACGTTTTAAGGTTGCAGCAGCCACTGGCAAGGCAGCGCAGTGCAAGGAGGAGTGGCTCCATCGGGACGATCCAAATGATGCGGAGGGATCCGACGTTTCTGTCCGCATTCCGGAGGATGTGCCAGTGGACTGGTTTGACCCAGCCTATTTCAATGCTCGGCCCGCGAGCTTCCGAGTGAACTACCGCGGAAACGGTGTTGCCACTCGCAATGCATCTGGACAAGACTGATTGGAAGACGATGCCGAGACATGAATTCATGAACAAGTATGGGAACGACGTCCTGGACCTGTACTCAATCCCCACTGACGAAGAAATGGCCCGGATGGAGGAGAACGAAACACGCAACCTGTCAGATGAAAGCAGTGATGACGACCATCCGATGCAGCAGTGAGGGGTAGATGTTTGTTTGTTTTGCATGCTATTTTCCCTCATTTTCCCTCATTCACGCCAGATATGTTGTATGCCATCCATTCACTATGCTAGATATGTTACATGTATATGACATTATGATTTACAACACGCGAAGGTCATTTCACCAAGCGCAGGAACAATGCGCGTGCCTGTTCCACCGTCGTGAGCCCATAGAGCACAACCAAGTAAAATGTGTTCTCCCCACGGCAGACACCCGTTATAATCATCGTCGACCCGCTCGCCGCACCCGATGGATGCGCGGGGCAGGGCGAAGATAGTCAGATGAGCACGCAGAAGCCGGACGCCGGAAGCCTGCATAGACCCACGTCGTCACAAGTACGCTG